CTTGCAGCCCGGAGAACAGCTGTACATGCGGTATGTGGCACTGCAGACATGTCTGCAGCATCATATACCCACAGCCATGCTTATCTGGACATGGCCTCTGCGTTTAAGGCTCAGCAGGAGCATTGGTACTTTCCAGTCAAAGTCCCCAGCCATAAAAGTCTTTCTGTTTGCATACTTTGGCATGGGACAATTGTCCGTGGACACTTAATATTAATGTTTTTTCCTCTTGCACTTGTCATTATTAAAACAAAAAAAGGCCCAGCTTGAAGTAAAATTCACTCTGTGCACACCCTGAAACACTACTTAATGATGCTTAGTAACACATAGATTTTTTTGTTGGCTCTCTTCATAGAGACCATCTTTACCTTGGGATGCTACCCAGTTAGGGCTAAAGTTCATGCTTTTTTCAGTGGCACCTAAAACTAATTGTTAGTTAAAATTAAATGGCTAAATAATTTGGTAATGCATGGAGTCAGCTCTGTGAAGGCTCAGACACTTTAGAAGCTCGGTCTTCAAATCTTAGTGTAATTCTGTTTTAGTTTTTCTGTTTACCTGATCACTTGCCATTGGAGAAAAAGGCAAATATATGCTAGGCACTTTCTATACCCTTCTGTACAACGAGTTCAAATAACTTTTGAAAGGTCTTTACTGCAAGTCACTAATTTAACTTAACTCTGATTAAGGTTGTTGGAATCAGTGTACCTAGAACTTGTTCGATTGTGTCTTTCCCTTAGTCCCCTCAGTCCCCATTTCCTTTTATTTCCTGCCTCTATTTTTTTCTTTGAAGATTGCTTAAGTCAGTTAATCATCTTTTTATACTTAGTAAGTGTCTGCTGAACAGAATCCATTTATCATGTATGTTTCATCACTATTGAGGGAAGAGGAAAATATTTAGACTTCAGCCTTCATTTTTTGAGGTTATAGTTACAAGTGGGGAATAATAGAATGTGGAGGCTTAGTATTAATTCTGACTCAGATGCCCACTGGATTAGTGGAAGAGGCTCCTAGCACTGAACACCATATTTAACTCTTGATTTAGCTTGATTTAACTGCATATTTAACTCCTGATTTAGCTGCAACCTGTGTGCAGAGTTATGGAATGACGTTTATAGAGCCAAACTCCTGTTGACTTGAATGGGATCAGGACATCATCCAGTGGAATCTTTGTGGTTGGCATTTATCAGAAAGAGAACCTCAGTTGACCAACACAGAATTAGAAGTTCTTTTGACTAATTTTGCTACTCTTCCATTTCCAAAATTTGTCACTAATTGTATCCAGAAATATCTTTTATTGTTTACATATACTTTATTTTATTGCCCACCTAGGTGGAGGAGATGGTAAGTGTCCATATGACGTAAAGTATCCCTAACCAAAGCTTTCCACTGATACCTATTTTGGCAGTCATATCAGTAGTTCTTTTTCAAAATTCTGGGTATTAAGGCCACTTCATGACATTTGGTCACAGAGTTTAGTGGTCTGCCCAAGATCAAATTGCAAGCCAATGGCAGTACTAGGATCTGAACTTTTACTTCACTACTCAAACCACTGGCTGCTCGGTTTTGAATGATATTGCATGGAACTCAGTAGGGTTGGATTTTGATTGATTTAATTGGCAAAAGAAGTGTGTATGTGCGCACACATGTATGGATAAAATACAAAATATTTATGGGGTAATTCCTGGGAAGGAATTTTATGTAATGCAAATGATGATGTCAGGTTTACATAGCATCTTTAAGTTTTAAAGTTAAAAAAAAGCATCTGCAGAACCTTTCATGGTTATCAGCTGTTTATTAGGGTTGTGTGAAATGGCTATGTTTCATTTCAGTTTCGGATTCGGCTGTTTCAGAGGACAGTGATTTGTTCTGATGTTTCAGGGCACTGTTCTGTTTCAATTTGGCAGAATCTGTTTTGGAGTTTTGACGCTGTTTTGGCACCAATTTGGAGATTTGGATAGGCCGGGGAGAAGCAGGCACAGACGGGAAGCTGCAGGTTCTCCTGCGGCTTCTTTGGCTGTGCCTGCCTCTCCCTGGGTGGGGAGAGCAACAGGAGAAGTCCCCACGGCTGCCCTGCCTGCCCCCATTCCTCACTTGGCCCCAGCCTTCCGGCACTTAAGCAAAAAACAAAAAACCGCCGCACTCACTGGCTGTAGCAGCAGTGATCAGGGCCTCTGAGGGCTTGTGACAGAGGCTACCCATGCAGTGCAGGGCAGTGGGCAGCAGTGGGGATCACCCCCCCGCGTGGTGCCTGCGTGGCAGCTGCCCCATGGCACCAGTGAAGCGTGACTTGACAGGGCGCTGCGTACTGTCTGGGAGCTGGGGCCACTGGGGATGAGCAGTGCCAGGCTCTGGCTGACAGATGGAGCCACCCCAGCTCCCAGACAGCGTGTGGCACCCTGCCAAGCTGCGCTGCACCTGTGCAATGTGACAGCTGCCGTGCGGGTGTCAACCAGGGGAGGGGGTGATCCCTGCTGCCCCCCACTGTGCCAGAGTTTTGCCACGATCCCTCAGAGACCCTAATTGCCACTGCTGCAGGTGGTGAGTGTGGGCCTTTTTTTTTTTTTTTAAATGTGTTGGGAGGCTGGGACCAGACAGGGGAATGGGGCTGGGCAGGGCAGCCATGGCGGCTTCTCCCATGGCTCCTCTGGCTGTGCCTGCCCTTTGCCCTGGCGGGAGAAGCCCACCATGGCTGCCCTGCTCGGCCCCTGGCCTCAGCCTCCCAGCACTGTTAAAGAAGGGCTGCGGGGCTTCTTCTGGGGGGGGGGGCAGATCTGTGCACAGGATGGCAGCAAGCTGCCATCCCTCCCCCAGAGTGGGATTAGAAGGGACCTCAGGGACAGAGCACAGACACTGGCCAGCTACAGAAGTCAATATCAGAGCAGTCCTTTCCCCCCCCCCCCGTCGTCTTAGTTTCTGTTTCCCCAGAAGCCCACCTCCGAAACATCTGAAACATTTCCAAAATATTTTGGATGGT